AGCCGCTAAAAACATCTGGATCTCACTGCCCGCTTTTTATCTGGACCAACAGAATTAGGCTCAATTTTATTTTGTGTGGGTTTGTGAAAGACAATGCCATTTTGCTTTGTTTTTTTTAGTTGCATGTTTTGTTTGTGATCGTTTTGAGCCTCACTGGAGAACCTGGCTCAGGCTTTCCAAGCCCGACTGGAGGCGTTCAGCAGAGCTGATGCAGCAGTTCTTTCAATCTTAATATAAAGTGAAAAGTCAACAGCAGGAGAGGGAGAACGTGTCGTTGCTGTTGCGTTATCAAAGGCATCACAACTAAACACAACAGAAGCTCCTTCCAGAGGGCAGATGGAGCTTCTGTGGAGCGAAAATGAAACTAAATCGGAGAGTCGTAGAAAAAAAAAAGATAGTCTGTTTGTCTTCCAGACGCCTTAGCTTATTTTATTTGTTATGTATTTTAGTTGACTCACAGTTTAAGAAACTTTTAGCGCACACAAAAGCATGAAAGGTATTCCAATTCGTCACAGAGCAGCTCTGAGACCAAATAACCAAACACACAGCGGAGGACGAGTCATTTAAAACGCATGTTTGTTTGTTTATCTGGAGAAAACAGTCAGTCAGATCAGATGAAACATTGAGAGAACGTAGCAGAGCTGGACTGAAGATTAGTAAAGTCAGCGTCTACAGGAACACATCCATCCATCCGTCCGTCCGTTCATCCATCCATCCATCCATCCTGGTTTCTATCTATCTCAATCGATGTAGGCGGTTCACCCTGGACAGGTCAACAGTCCATCTTGGTGTCTGATCTCCTATATGTCATATTTTGGTCCTGTTTGCCTCTGGTGTTTGATTGTGTCTGACTTTGATCCCATCTTTGCGAGCTGGCCTGATACAGTCCAGCAGTGCTTTGTTGATCTAATCCGTCCACCTGCTTGAGTGCCTTAGCCACCTGTGTGTGCTTCCTGGTAGAGTAGCCGTCATCACAAGCGCACTAAAGCACAATGCTCATGTGTTTTGTTCCATTCTGCATTCATCAGCTGACTCACTGACTCCTCTGTTGTTTATCTCACATCCATCTATTGATCACCTCTGCTATTTCCTATTTCCTGTCTTCAGGATTTTCACATCTTTTCTGAGTCTTCTGATATGTTTTAACGGTGGAGATGACGGTGTGAGGGGTCGTCCCGGTGTTAAACCCCCCCAAAAATTCACCAAGTAAAAGTCTAGAGATATGCATTAAAATTTCTTTTCACATGTACAAACATGGCAGCCATGTTGATCTTCTGCTGACGTCCAGTAATGTCCCGGCAGGTTTTCTTTTCTTTTTTCTTCAGATAAAAGACCCATTGTCCAAACATCCGAGCTTCACAGCAGATCAATTTACGGATCTTTTAATAAGAAAACCAATTCCTTCTGTCTTTGCAGGCGATCTTGATGGACACAAATTGTTCAATGAAGACGAGGTCCTACACCACACAGGGGACGTCCTACCAGGGCGACGACATGGACCCAGAGTATGACGATTACGATTAACAAGACGACAGGCGGACAGCTGAACCCCCTCAGATTCTATATTTTGTTGTACAAAAAAAATGAGAAAATAGAAAAGCAAAGAAACCCGGGGAGTCAAATGAAGCAACACAGCCAAGTGAATTCCATGTCAATGTTCCCGCAGTTGGTCGTCACTGTTCAGTGTTCTCTTCACAGTCGTATCGCAGGAAGCCAAAGTTGTTCTTAATTTGTGCATTTTGTGACAAGTGGTTTCAGCCAGCAGCCTTATTCAGTGACAGGGTGTGTCAAAAAGCACTTTGCAGACAGGAAGGGCAGCGAGGACAGTCTCTCTGACGGTTTAGTTCAAATCCAGAACATGTTCATATTTCACGTTTTTTGCCCTTCGAGTTTATGTGTGTCGACATTTACCGTCTTGAAACTGTCAGCGGAACGTGATGTCCGGGTTGTTATAACTGCTAAGTGTGTGATGTGTGAACAAGGATAAGAGAAACTTGTTACATTTATTTCAAATCGACGCAAATGACTGTCATTGGTGAACTGCACGGGGAAACAACAGTGCCAAAAGTAATTCACTATGTAAACCCAGAATGTTGGTTTTCATTTGGCCACATGTGTTCAGCTTTGATTCCACAGAATATGACCAACCCATGAGGAAAAAAAGATGCAAAATTAATTTGAAAAAGAAAAAAAAAAAAAAAAAAGAAGCAACAAGTGCAAACATAAAAAAATGTAATAAAAATCTGTAACATTTTCAGTCCAGGACCTGCATGGTTCTGATGTAGGGTTCTTTTGGTTTCTGCTATTGTATGTTGAATTTTGGCAACACATGTTAACAGTTAACAAAAGTAGCTGCTGTCCTGTTATTATTATTTTTTAAAGAAACATATCAAATAGGAGTGTAAAAATATATCCAGCTTGTGAGACTGTGCACTGTACTGGGTTAAGACAAGGAGAAAAGATTTTAACAATATTTTTGGGGAAACTCTTAAGCCCAAGTTTTGTTTTGTTTTTTGGTTTCACAAATAAAGGTTTTACAAATTCAACTCATTGGAAGAATTCACGATTGTTATAGAGAAATGCGACACAACAGGGGTCCCCAAAGTGGGCCCTGGAGGGCCGGCGTCCTGCATGTTTTAGTTCTCTCCCTGAGTCAATCGGCCTATTTAAAGGCTGACCAGTTGTCAGTGTGCTGTTTGGTGACATGGTGTACCACAGTGAACATGGACTACAGGAAGCAGAAGCACTTGACGCTCCTTTGGATGCAGCTGCACAGATTGTTCAGGTGTTTTAGGGGTTTCAGCAGCCAACCTTCCCCAGACAGCAGGAGGAAAATCAAATGACAGATCGAAGAGAAGGATTCCATTTTAAATGTTCTCTACCCAGAAACATACCGTTTGTAAAATCTTTATTTGGCTTCACGCGTCGTGGACTGGGATTGGTTCATTTCGTTTTTATTTGTGGGGACGTATGATCCTTCGTTATTCTTAAAAAGCTGCTCTCTCTCTCTCTCTCTCTCTGTGGAAACGGTGACTCTGAAATCAAATCCAGTGACAGTTTTGGATTTTCAGCACCATTAGCTTCTCTCGCCTTTAAACGCTTTGAGTCTTTTACAAATGGCCGTCTTGCTTTACATGTGATTTCATATTCCAGCCGTGGGGGCTCAGGATGACTGGAGCAACATGCGAGCCTTTTCAGCATGCTCCAGGAAATACTCATGTTGATTGTCTGAAGTGCATGCTGGGAGACAGCACAATGAGTTGCCATGACAGGGAGATGTGGGAGACAGCACACTGTAATCAGTCTGTCCATCTTAAACCTGGGCCTCAATTACTTTGCAGATGCTCACACAATACCTCTGTTTCCTCATCAACAAAAACCAGAACATTTTTCTTACTGAATAAAATTGGGAGGGGGGAATATATATATTTTTGTTTTGCAAAAAGGTGCAGTAATAACATTAAAATATTTCAAAATCCTTAAAGGAATCCATCCTAGGCTAGAATATGATATGATGTCTCTTCCCTTACAAGCAGTAAAAGCATCTCAGTATAACAGTTGCATAAATGGAGAAATAGGACTTTAATTTGTTGATATATATTGTTAAGAGGGTTCCTCTCAGTGTATGATAAGCCTAGCGAGCTACCAGGCTTTATTTGTGCTCCCACCAGGCTTAGCATTGTTAATTTATCTGAGTTTTTTTTTTATTAATGCCTTTTTAAAGACTTTCTAGTTGGTGTTTAGGTATTAATCTTCCAGTCTTCCAAAAATATATCAAGTTTAAAATTTTCTGTCAACTTTGAATCAAAAAATTTTAAATCAAAAACATGGCGGCTGGATGGAAAGTCTTCCTAACACTGCAAGCACCAGCAAGTTTGCTGGTGATACACACTGGAGATTTCTAAGGCGGTCTGCGCAGTGGCGTAGACTGCCTTGCAACAAGACGGTCCTGTGTTTGATTCCTGGCGAATCGAACACATTCGATTCCTGCTTGGAGTTTGTGTGTTTAGCCTGTGCATGTGCAAGTTCTCACCAGGTACTCCAGCTTCCTCCCACTCATGATTGTCAAACATATTGGGTCTCTCTAAATTCTCCCTAGGTGTGTGTGAGTCTCTGTGTTACCTTGTGAGACTGCTGAGCTGTCCAGGGTGAACCCCGCCTGTCGCCCAAAACTTTTGCTGGAGATGGGCACCATCACTAGGAACAAGGGTGGAAGAAAATGGATGGATTTCCAAGGCTGTTCAGGGAGGACAACCACTGCCAAACAATAAAGCAACGTGTGGTTCACATGATGAAAACAAAACAAAGTTGGGAAACAGGATCAAATGATGTTCCAGTTGTTAAAACTCAAAACTAATGTATAAATGGGTTTTTAGGCTCGATTTAAAGGAACTCAGTGTTTCAGCAGTTTGGCAGTTTTATGGAAAAGGTGCCACCAACGCTTGTGATAGTACTGTCCTCAGAGCCGCACACAAAGACGGACGGACAGACAGAGATCTTTTTCTTCTTTTGGTTTACAAACTCCTGAATTTCAAAACCGGTGCATTTTCAAACCTGAACTGAATACTGCACATCTTCTACTGAGACAGAATATTCCTCAGTAAACAGGAAATATTCTCTTTTACTGAGAATAAGCTTAATCTTATGTTGGAGGGGAAATAAAACGGTGTTACTGAAAGGCATCCAAACAGCACAGTTGAGCTGATTTCACCAAATTTGTCCAATTCAGTCGGTCAAGCAGATGGAGCATGTTTCAGGTTCTGTTCACTCAAACATTTGATTTGTTGGAAGAGCAGACTTGGACGCGATTGACTCGGAGCAAACAGTTATATTGTTTTAAGCTAATTTTTAATCAAAACTGAAGAAAATGAAAAGGTCTACCGTCAATCACTCAGAAGGAGACGTCTGGTTTAAAGACATTTCAAAATGTGTTTGTGTTTAAAACTCAGTGCAGCTGAAAGTAAATTGGGGGGGAAAAATTGGCGAAACGATGGTTGGAATTCAATTGTTCCTGTTTATTTAAGCTATGTACAATAAAGCTTCATTACAATTCTTTCTCCAAAACTTTAAACAACACCCCTTGAAATACACACACACACAAAAATAAGAACCAACACCATGTTGACCTGCTGAAAACTGTGGTGGGGAGCCGCGCGGCCGCTGAGGGGACTGAGGGACGACGAGGGCAGAAGCGTTCTTTGTGACAGAATAAACAGCAGCAGCGAGAACGGTGCTTCACAGGCCGACGGAGGGATGTCCAGTTTAAAGTCGCCAACTCCTTCTGGAGATCACCGCTTCACAAAACACCCCCCACAGTTTAAAGAACAGACCAGAGAATCTGGGTCTTACTCCTGATCATCAGTTTCAATGCAACAAAAACCAAAAAACACTTTTGAAAAATGTCTGCAAAGGGAATGGGAGGTGGAGCACTAAGCAAGAATCTAAAAAAAAAAAAAGAATCACTTTGCTTTTTATGGCTCTGGCTTATTCACTCTCTCTTAGACAAACGTGTATTTTAGGAAACACTTAATTGTTAGTCGATGTTCTACAAACTTTTTATGCAAGTGAGTCATTTTATGGAAACAACACAAAGAGAAGGTTTTGTGCTGCAGGTGTGATTCGTCTTCAGCCTCACAAGAGAAGACAAACTTAACGGGCATCACTCTGCAAAGATTACTCCATCATCTTTGGTCAAATCATTTTGTAAAAAAAAAAAAACAGGACATATTTAGTTTGTTCGCAATAACCTAATTCCACCAACACAGAAGAAAAAGTTTTCACCCTCCAAAAAAATCCCTCAGCTATTTTTCATAGAACGTTAAAACTCAGTAGTCTGTTCCCAAATGTCTGCTTCAGTTGTTTTGTTTTGTTTTTTTCTTCTCATTTTTTTCCTCTAGCTCAGCATCTTTCACTCCAAGAGGGGAATGCGTCTTACCAGCTGCATGAGAAGCTGCAGTTTCTTCTGGTCACCCAACAAGAGCTGCTTCAGTAGCACAAAAACAGAAAAACGTCTTTCCTGTAGCGAGCGCCTCATTTCCAGCCACAGTCAGCGATGGGTGCGGCTGGAAACAAAGCTGTAAGCACACATTATCCACTAAACAAATATACATTCATCAGTTTCACTTACATACATGAAAGCAAACAGCTTGAATTAGCATCTGCATGCGTTCGGATGTAGCATTTATTCAGAGAAATGAGGTGAACCGTCACATCCGTAACGGGTCGTATAATAAAGTGAAAGAGTCATAGTGAAGCCTAGGATGGACGAGTGTTCTGCACAAAACGAGATGGTGGAAGTCAAATAAATTAATAATGAGCACAGGGATAGATTAACATTAGCAACCATCTTGTACCACTAATTACTCAAAATAAACTTAGTTACAAGCATTTAAAGAAGGGAACAAAAGTACCAGTGCATAAATATGTTGCAACAAATATTAAAAGGAACTTCTGCTGCCAAAATTCTCACATTTATCAGGAAAAATATCATCAAAGCAAGAACAAAGGATGAATGCAATCATAGGTTATTGGACTTCAGATTGGCCTGTTTCTCAAGGCAAAATTCTCAAAGTGAACAATCATTAAACGTTACTGCTCTCCACCCTCAAAAATGAAGAAATGTGCAAACTTTGCAAAGACCTTCAACCAAAGTAAGATTACAAGGGTTCCAGTAAAGAAAAATGAAAATAAAATCTAACAAAACTGAATGACAAACACTCAGTACATCCAAGGGGAGATGATGAAAACAAGATATCCTTGGTCTTGCGATGGGATCACAAATAAAAATGTCAGTAGCGAATTTTCAAAACCATAATTTCATTGACATTAAAGAAAGAAAAAAAAAGGTGAGAATGAAAATACCTCAACGTCCGCGTGTTTAGGACGGACTGGACAAAATCCTCAGTATCAAAATCAGAAATGGGACATTACTTTGCTGAAAAGCCCAAACCCAATCCACATGTCACGTTTTCATCGCTTTCCTAATCGGTACTAATGAAGTGCCTCCACACAGATCTGCTCCTCACTGATGTCATCCATCAACTGCACCTCCACAGGGCTGCAGATGTCGCTGTCATACACCTCTGGTCCCATAAGGACTTCTTCTTCCAGACTCTCTGCTTTGCTTTTGAATCCTTGCTGCTCTGAAGGAGACATGCTCTCCACAGACTCCAAGTCCTCTATGCCCGCTCGGTAGTGGATCATTAGAAGAGTGAGGGCCTGAAGTCTCTCACCCGACTTATTCAGAGCAGTGCAGATGAGGGCCTTTCGCCGGGAATCCGTGGCCTCCTTCTCTTCCATCATAAGAGCGTTATTGTGCTCCAGCTCCTGGTCAATTTCTTGTTGGAGTTTGTCCAGCATGAGCTCCAGCTTCTGTGAGCGCTCGTCTGTGGGCAGGCCCCTGTACAGGTCCCGGCCGATCTCCTTTACCGCGATGAAGACGCTGTCATCCAGTCCGCCCTCCTTTCGTACAAGTTTGCTGGTTCCACTGCTGCTGGTCGGCTGCTTTGATGGGCTTGGCCCACTAGTGTAGGTCTCTGTGTCGCTGCTCTCATTGTCAGATGTGTTGGGTGTCTGCTTGGGTGACGGCTCCACAGCTCCAGGCACCGCGTCGGCCACCTGCTCGAGTCGTGTCTTGGGTATCTGGCGAAGATTGAGCAGACGTGAGCTGGTATTGATGATGTGACGCGTTAACCCGGTGGCCCGGTTCATAGTGGATTTGGCTTCAGGATCAGCGCCTCGACGTTCAGCCGTTGCCACGCAAAAAGGACTTTCAGCAAGGCACTTATCCTGGCACTTCTTATGGCAAACGTAGGAACAAATTATACATTGCGAGGCTGCCTTTGTCCAAACTTTCTTTTTGCAGTATTCACACCAAGTAGGGTTCTGGAACTGCGTGTCGTGGAAGCTGTGACGGGCTTCTTGTGACTGCATAGTGCCATAAACCAAATCATCACGTGCTACAGAGGGAGTGGGTTCTTTCTCTCTCAAATCCTCATCATGGAGACTTCCCTCACGCTCCCGTTCGATCAAGCCCATTGGAAACTCTAACTCACCATCGGCCAAGTAACAGAAGTTTAAGGTGACATCTCCATAGCATAGCTTTTCATTGAAACCCTTGTGCATGCTGAGATTGCGTAGTGCAGTGCGGCTGACATTTGCTTTTGGCTCTGGGGGCCCCAACCTAAAGATGCTCTGGTACTCTGCAGAAGATGTAGCCATACATTCCAGTGCCACATGCTCCAGTGGGAGGCTGACATGACCCAGGCACAACAAGCCGCCTACCTTAAAGGGATCTTTGCACCACAGGGCCACGTTGAGATACTTGTGGTGAGTCTCCACCTCAAACACCACAGAGGCCTTGGACCAGCATGCTGTATGTTTACTAAATATAGTTTCTGGGGATTCCCAGAGTGACTGCTCATCTAGACTGTCTCTTGTGCCAAAGGTCATTTCTGAAACTTTGTCCTTTGCTTGATCCGTCTTGCTGCTGGTAACAGAGCAAGAACCAAGAATCTCATCACTGGTGTCTGCTGCTTTTGTAAACTGTTTTCCTTCTGACTGCTTGATGCTTGTCTTCTCTGTGCCACTCTTATCTTCAGTGGTTCCACAAACTGAAATCTTGTCCAACGATTTTTCAGAAGCACTGGTGGTGGTAGCGGCAATGTTTGTAACTAAATCAACACCTTCTAGAAGACTGGTTTCTGAGGATGCAGACGTCAACCGTATCTGGGGCCTTGGTGGCACCGGGGGGCGTGAGGGAGGAGGTGGGGGAAGAACAGTGGGCCGATGCAGACTCTCACCTGGTTCACTGATGGTTTTATGTGGTGAGGGTTTGGGTGATTCTTTGGGCTGGGGTTTTAGCGGAGACTGCAGACCGACAAGGTTTAGCTTTCGGTTCAGTATGGGTGATATAGTACCAAGGGGCTTGGAAGCCAAGTTGGCCACTGTTCTTTTAGGACTTTGGTTAACAGCAAGTAAGAAGTCCTCCTTGGTTTCACTGATATTTGCGTTACTTATTGTAGGTGCACTAGGCTGGATGAGTTTGTGGTCCACGAGCAACTCCTCAAACTCAGAGTCCATGTCTTTGCTGTCAGAAATATCAGGAAGAGTGGTGATGGACGAGGGGTCCTCCTCATAACTGGTTGGCTGTGGAGTGAAGCTGGTTTCCTCCAGATGACTAAGTCCCTCCTGTAGAGTCCCAAGGTTTCCTAAAGGAGGAGGCTGATGGCGAATTGGTCTCTCATATAAAATCGCCACCCTTTCTCCTGCCTGTTTCAACAGTTTGGGCACTTGAACTGAAGACGTCACTTTCACTCCTGTCAAAAGAAAGCACACATTTTTCCTTCAGTAAAACAAAGTCATTTGGTGTCTTTTAAACTTTCAAAAGTACATTTTTCTCTTTAAGCAATTAAACAACTAATACCTCCAATAGCAATGAGGCGATCGCCCTTCTGTAGGTCAGCCTGGGCTGCAGGAGAGTTGGGTGTTACTGTTTCTATGCTGACATAGACTGTATCACCTTCCAAAGCAGGTATGTGCCTGAACGTCATCCCCACATTGCCACACGGTCCTTTAATAACCTCCGTCTGATGCAAACAACAGAAAATTAAACAGTTAAGTAGACTGAGATTTTAGGAACTGTACATGTTGGACTACAACCTTATTCTCTACAAGCACTGGCAAAGATACTGCAAGGCTCAAGGTTGTATTACGTAAAATGCTCTGATCTGATCCAGGGTGGTAGTCAAGTACTTTTTTAAAGAGTATTTCTTGTCAATGTTGATTACGACTGGTCTGTTGCATCGTATCAATCAATCAAGTTTATTTGTGAAGCACATTTCAGCAACATGGTAGTTTAAAGCACTTTACATAGGGCAACATAAAAGAACATCATAATCACAGTTGTGAAAACATAACAGACATTACATTTTCTCAAGTGCCATCATTAGATACATCAATACACATCAAATGTCAATCAATATCCTATTAATTATTGGTTCAAAAGCAACTCTAAACAAGTGACTTTTTAGCCTTGATTTAAAGAGACTCAGTGTTTCAGCTGTTTTAAGGTTTCTGAAAGTTTGTTCCAGATTTGTAGTGAAAAGAAGCTGGAAGGTCAATACAACAGCAGCAGGTTTAGTTTTGTTTCTGGTCAGCTGGAGAACATTATGTCAGATGCATGCATTTATTTGTTCTAAGAATCTGCTCAGTGCATGGATGGATTCAGATTCACCAGGTGACATGCAGAGCTGTGACTCTGTAACACGGAATATTTCCAGCTGACTTTTAGAAAGAAGGTCCAACTATGACATCTTCAACTCAACAGAAGTCACTCAAACTGAGGCAGTTCCTTGGAAGAGTTCATATCTGGCCTAGAACCAAAGCTGCAGAAACAACAGCATACTTACTTTAAGACAATTTGTGCAAAAGAGCAAGAAGTGAAAAGCAAAGTTTCCGAATATGGAAACTATACGAATGAGGTGAACATGGAAAACATTGGCAGGGATAAAGATGGTGCAGGTGCCTTCATTTAAAAGAAAGAAGAGCTGACATGGTGTGGGAAGGCAGAGACAAATGACTGTAATTTCCCATGCTATCATTTGTTACTGTTCAGCTGGAAGGTAGTGATTGAGTTAGAGCTGGCCCTGAATAAGCAGATGATCTATACATACTGGCAGGCGAGGGGGTGAGGGAAAGGGTTTAGCAGGTGGAGGGCTAATGCTCACTGCTATGGGTGAGTCCTGAGCTGCACTGTTTGCAGTCAGGTTACATCCCAAAATGAAACCAAATGTAGAACTGATTTAAGCCAACATCTCCCTCATCAGTGGTACGAAGTTACCAAACATTTAACTTTTGTGGATTTTGCCTTAATTGAAAAAAATGCTCGGCTCTGACTGAAGTATTGTTTGTGTGACTATTGTTCTTATAAACAGGTTTCAAACAACAATAAGTTAAGTAAATTAGCTTCTCCCCAATTAGATAACAATATAAATAGACTACTATTAAAAGAAGCATTTGACAGCACTGACATTGTCTTTAAATAAAACTTTCAGAAACAGAAATGCTGAAGACATTTGATGGCTGCCAGTGATTTTGTTCGTCTCTGTACTTTTCTGTTCACAGTGGGAAATGGCCGCACACAATTTCTGGTAAGCTACATAGTGCTGTGTCCTTTATGGTGGCGCTGGCACATTACATTAATCTGCCAAACATTAGCGATTGGGTAAAATCTGGTTCAAGAGTTCACGCCCCCAACAAGCGATTGTTTCTCAACAGCCGATGGTCCACACCTTCTATCAATGTGTAGAACAAGTGTCTAGTCTTTTCCAGGCTAGTAATTTACTCATTTGTACAAACTGAACTCTCCACACAGACAGCAGAGCGTGACAGAACAAAGCTTGTCAGAGTCCTTAAGGATAAAATTCATTTGTTTTTCAGGGTAGAAGATGTGGTTTTAGCATCTGGGACAGTTGCACTGATGCCACAAACTACAAATAATGTTGTAATCCACAAACTACTACACAAAAACTAGTTTGTGGTGAACAAGACAATTTGACAATTCACTAATATTCAAATAATTATATAAAATTATGTATCACACCTTTTTGGCTAGTAGCAGGAAAATTGTCGTCCAAGCAAGCACAATGATTGGAACAAGTGTTTGTCCAAGTAACCTACTTTGTGTGAGGGTAACACACAAAGAAGGGTGTAAAGTTCAGGGTAACCTTAATCCTAAGGTTACTATGGGGACAAATGTAGACGCTACTCATAATAAAATAACCTTTCTCATATAGTCTTTTAGCAAACAACCTGACAACTGCATAGAATGATAGGATATGCAAAACATGGGGATATTAAGCAGGATATTGAAAACAGAAGAGGACATATATCCTCATTTCAAACCTAATGACTTAATCCATCTAACACAGGGTGTCGGACCTAAAGAGGAAATGACCTATTCTTTCTGACGAGAATGATTCGGCATAATCGTTTTGGACACCATGCTCAGAAATAAAGAGGAAAACATGCCTTTTATATCAAAACTTTTCTGCATAGTCTTCATGATGAAAAAATCAAATAAAATCTGGGCTCAGTTGGAAGTACTCAGCTGTAACTCAAAAAGTTTGGCTGCAACAAAGTACAAGTTTGCTGAACCATGCAGTACTTTATGTTCTGTTTTTACTCTACAGAAAAGCTACATCTGGTCTGGCGTTCTGTTTTGCGATGGCACCTTCCTGGAAGGGGGCGGCAGCATTGACTAAGATACTGCTCCCAAAAAAACGTAATGCTCTGCACAGTCTGCACAAAGCTCTTGGCTGAGATTTTGCTACGACTAACTGTATGTGCCCAGATTCATCCAATAGACTTGAAGTCCAGTCCAGAGCTCATCTCTATTGCACTCTGGCTCATTGTGTTTGAGGAAAGGAATTAGCTCAGCTTTACCTTTAACTAAATCAGAAAAAAGTCTCGTCTGAGTATCGTCTATGACCTGGACTTAATTTGGTGCAGCTGGGCCACCGCCTCACATCAAGGAAAACTTATTTGATAAGGAATTAAACTTTCCATCAGCAGACTGAGTTGCAGAGGCTTGGACAGACTCCTATTGCAGCACATTGTGTTGCCACCATTTGAAAAACACCATTACAAAAGAAAAAAAAAAGAAGAATATCAGGAGGGTGTTTCTTTAACACAATTAACCCTTCACGCCACACATTTCATAAGCTGTCACTATGTCCAGTGTTGTGTCAATATGTCAGTGAAAGCATCACATCAATACTAATTCCAAGCATATTGCATATGTGGTTGAATTTCTCTTTACAAAATAAGGGAAGCGAGAAGCTAGCCACTTGTTCATGACTGGCCTTGCAGTCTCTATTGTGGTCACTTGCCTTGCAGCAACTGCAAACGGCAGCGAGTAAACGGCAGCGAATTACGGGACCAAACTGGCAGGAAGGGTGTTCAAGTGAAGACTTCATGCGGCTGTAACAACCACTTGAAATGGTGTGTCTGAGAATTTCTGCTGTCTAAACAACAAGAGTCCACTAGCCACCTGTGCAGATCCTGGAAATGGAGTCCTCTCCTCAGCCCAACCCTACCCCCGTCACCACTGGGCCTGCTAATTAGATGTGGCAGGGAATTGCTGTGCACTTGCCTTGCAGCAACTGGTACCCTATAACCATACACAAATCGATCTGACATGTGGTATGAGATTAAATTACCAAGCAGCGCAGTGACAGGAAAAAGAGTTTTCTCCTCCCCAACCTCTCCATCTCACAAACACCCTGGCAGACCTGCTGTAAACCAGAGGGATGTTCAACCAAGCAAAGGGAGATGCCGTTTCAGTCCTCCCACCACCTGCTTACGTTCCACTGAAAATTTGTTCCAGGTAGTCAAATAACCTTCTAGTCTCAAAAATGTATAAGGATGTTCCCTATTGAAGATCCACTTTGGCAGATTGTCAATCCAATCTCAATTAACTGTCCCCATAAATTAAACAAAGCAGTTACATATTTTCCAATAAAGAGAAGCTGAAAAGCCACCAATGAAAACAAAAAAGTCAAAAGAGGGAACATTTTCCAGAGATTTCTCAAAAACATGTAACCAACAAAAGATTAAATTGAGTCAGTAGCTGCTGCCGGTGTCGACAAGATGTCGAGACAGTCAAATAGATTTATTTCAAAGTTCCAGGAGGATGATGCCTTCAGCAGTTTTATTTATTATTGCAACACAATATATCAACAAGGTCTTCATGCCCCCAAAGAATCTTTGCATAAATTATGTGCATTTGCTCCGCCCTCGTTGGACGGCTGCTCGAGTCCGCCTCACACCAAATGCATTCACAGCAGGATGAGAAACAGAAATATTGTTATTTGCAAGGCTTCATGAAGTGAAGCTTTGCAAATAAGGCTTCACTTATTTGCAAGTGAAGCAAATAACTTCGTTTGCAAAAACATTCACTATTTAGGCAAAGTGAATGTTTGCCTAAGTAGAACTTGCACAAATAACGTTGACATTTTAAGAAACGGAATCGAATTGATTAAGATGGCGGGTTTGCAGTAAACATGGCAACATAAGAAACCTTCAAAATTCAACCTCTTTGGTTTTATAATGCAACTACTTTAGTGTCTGGAAGTAAATTAGGTCTAGTAGCCTTCCTTTTTACATTCTGGTGCATGTAGTCTGAAGCTCACAATGCATCAGTGTGTAAAATAAAGCAGTGAGAGGGGGATTTTATCAGAGCTTCTTTTAGGGATCAAAGAAAGATCGGTCTAGTTTTCTATCCCAGAGGATACAGGAGATCATGATAGCTCCCAATTTGAACATATTAACCTTTGATTTGTTCTGTGGCCGAGCTGATATAAAGAGAGGCTGCTTCACCGAAACAGATGGTGAATTGTTCCATTTACATCTGGTCTGTTCATGCTGCTACGTGCTTGTTTGGCTTTTCTCCTCAGAGACAAGAAACCAGGAGCTGCTTGTTGTCTTAGTCGATGTTAACAAGGTTAGCCATTGTTGCTCAGCCCTGAGAAAAAGCACCAGTACACCACAATTAAACTGCAAATTGCAGACGCACTAAATCAGCGCT